AATATATATATATATAAATGTCTGTCGATACGTTAAAGGGGCAGTTTAAGACGAATCTTTTATAATAAATCATTTGATAAAATGTGTAGTAAATTAAGAGCAGCGTCCACTTGCACCCATTTTCATTGTCTTTATTTGTATGATGGACGTCGTTCAAATTAAATACACCAGTAAATAAATATTTAAATTAGACATCATGGGAAAGGGAAATCATGGGGATGGGAAGAAGGGTATGCAAATAATGCAATGCAAGAGCACATGCCACATAGCGCTGCGGACCCAAATAATGATGATAATAATAATAATAATAATAAATGGGAACACTAATTTTAGTATAGATTAGGGCATTTGTTATTGGATCATTTAATAATTTATTTAAAATTTTATAAAGAAATATACCCCATATATTTGAAAGTGGGTTTGCCCACATACCATCTCACTTTCTCACCTTTAAACCCTCACATTTTTTTTGTTAATAATAAATATTATATAGGTAAACAATCGCACATAAGAGATTACCAAACGTAATACTAGACACTCACGTTGAAAATACGTTATTAATAAATTTTAAAACAAATGATTATATACATATACTGATATATATATATATATAAGCATATATGCGTGGATATATTAGTCGTGTATTGTATTTAGGGGTGTCAAACGAGCCAGCTCGGATCATTTTGGGTTCGGCTCATTTGGCTCGGATCGTTTTGGGCTCAGCTCGTTAGGCTCGTTTTCTAACGAGCTAGAAAAATCTCGGCTCAGATCGCTCGCCAGTTTTCCGATCTGAACGAGCCGGCTCGTTGAGCCAAGGATATATAATATTTTTTATTTATATTTATTTTAAATATAATTATAAATTTAAATAAATACATAAAAATTTAATAAAACACCAATATCATTTAATATTTTCAATTATCACCATCATAATAATTAGTATATTTATAATATCATATAAATAATATAAAAAAATTAATATAAAACTATATTAGATTTTTTTTATATAAATTTAATTTATTTTAAAAAAAAATACCAGCTCGTTGAGCAGCTCGCCAGCTCGCCGAGCCAGGCTCATTGAACACGTGTTCAATGAGCTCTGGCTCGTTAGGCTCGTTTTTTAACGAGCTGAAAAAATTACGGCTCAGATCGCTCGTTTTCTGGCGAGCCACGAGCCAGCTCGCGAGCCGGGCTCGTTTTGACACCCCTGATTGTATTCATGATTTTCATAATATGTCATATAAAGTATCATATCGAGCATCTCGGGAAGATGAATATGATATAATAATATTTACAGCTGGGCATTGGTTTCATTTTCATGCGCTAAGTCAGACAATTAATAAATAAATAAGCGTCGGTATGATGGATTATGATGCCCAAAGGGGCAAAATAAACACATCTTTTACAAATTAAAATCGACATATATAGCAGTTTCTTAATTATGAGATTTTCAATTATTCTGTTTCAGTTGTATTTAAATGGAACAACCTAAGAAAAAAACACCAACTAAAATCTACTGTCAAAGGTTCCATGGGTAGTATACGGTATGCGTATATGTATACTGTATAACATTTATTACTTGCATTATAGAGTATGCATTGAATTGCGTGAAGCCATTTGAGTAATTAAATATAATTACCATATCTTTTAGGGGGTTGCTGGTCAAGTGGGCATTATGATATTAATACGCAAACGTCTACGATAATAATTACGGTGATCTGTCCAAAATATTATAATATATTGTCTATTCGTCAGCAGGAGATTGCTCACAGATTCTGGTTTCAATAAATGGACAATAGATGTTGTATCCAGAACTTTGAATTAATAACGTGGTTATAAAGTCAGTAATAATCCTCGTTTCATGAATCCAATATATCATGAATCGCGTGGGTTTGGGGTTTGACCCGCATGCGCCTAAGTCCAACTACGGCCCGAGTGTTTGGTGCGTCTGGTGGCTAGGTCAAGTGGGGGACTGTTAGGCATGAGTTGGCCGGCTCGTCTCCGTTTGTAATGATAGGTAGTCACGGGGTTACCCAATACATAAAATATATATATATATATATATCATGAATCCTTTTATATTTCTTAGGGCGTGACGGTTTTGGTAATAATCATGAATCTTTTATACTATACGACCTAGGGACGAAGTTTCAGTAGTTTTCTGACGGTCCAATATATGATATAATGTTTGGGTTAGACATTAGAAATCCTGACAAAGCGTATTCAAATTATCCATATATATGGACCAGGACCTTAAAAACAGAATCCAAATTAGTTTTTAATTTTTTTTTATAACGTATGAACCCTAACTGCTACCATTCGGATGCGCTGACCAGATAAACCTCCGGTTCGGAAATAACATTTGTATATGGATCATATAAACCTAGAAATTATCTCCCTTCACATCAACCAGGAATCGAACACTCAACTTCAAGATGAAGTTACCTTCTAATCCAAACTTAACCATTCGGACACGATATGTTGGGTTTTAATTACACATGTTATTGCACATGTTATTCCGTTGATACGGATTACAAATTAGCTTTTAATTACACATGTTATCCCGTTGATACGGATTTCGAAGCTCCAATTCTATTTCTTTTTGTTTTATGCAATCGCGTCCCATCCCATACTGCTCCTCTCGGTACCCTTTTGAAAGGTTTACACGTATCATTACAGAGAAAACATTTAATTGAATAATTTTTTTATAATATTCAATTAAATAATTGAATAGTTTTAATTATATAAAATTATCGAATAAACGTATGGTAATTTTCTATGTAAACCATTCAATTATTTATAACTTTTCATATTTATAAATATTACTTATTATATTAAAAAATATTAAATTCTTTTAAAAATTCTAAAATAAAATAATCTGATATTTATTTCATATCATCGTTTTCAAACAAATCTATAGTTGGTACTTAGTACAAAACAACAATATTAATATGTTTACGAAAATTCATATATTTATAAAAAAGATTTAAAATCATTAGTGTTTTCATTTTAAATATAAAAAAATTAAATTAATTAAATATTTTTCACCAACCCACTTTTTCACCTGTAAAGGCCCACGTTGAAAATACATGATCAATGTCAATATGTTTAAAAAACTACATATCCATATATAAGTATATACGCGCGCATATATTAGCTGTATTTCTAATATTTTGTATAATATAATAAATCATTATCAATTCACGAGCCAAGAATCTCGGGAAGATTACATGGGTAATATTTTCAGCAAGGCATTGGGTTCATGTGGTTAGTCAGAAAATTAATAAATAAATGAACATCAATAAGATGGCATATATGTTTTTTTTTCTTTTTGTAAAGATGGCCTATATGTTTGCCAGGGACAAAAGAAAACGTTTTTATAAGTTAAAAATTGATATATATATAGCCTAATTGCACTTTTTATAATCTAGAAAAAATGTTGATTTTATGATCGATATTTTGAATATTTAGCAGTTTATATTGAGATTTTATATTATTAGTTTGAGTTATACTTAAACTGTCTTCAATAAATAATATAAAATGTTGTGGAATGGTCTAAGTAACATGATTTAAAAAAAATCATACCAAAAAAAGAATATGATTTAAAAAAAATCAGTTTGAGTGGTTCAATCGATAAGGAAAGAGATTTGAATCCTCATTTGGAGAGGGGAATTCACATGAATTTCTTCGGTTTTCTGAAAGATGTAGTGAGACCAAAAATTCGGAAAATTTTAAGATTATAAAAAAATGACTTGAAAATTTGCAAGTGGATACGGCTCCTTATCACAGGCATTGGAAATTTGCAAGGCTTTTAATTTTAGAAAGAGTTACAAATTTGCAATTTTATGTCTATTATTCAAATAAATTTAAAATTATAAAAAAATAAATTTAATATATATAGCCCAACAAAGTATGAAGTTATGCAAACAAGGCACACGACTTTTTTAAGAATAGATATTCAGTTACCGGATTCCGTGCCTAGATCTCTGCCCATTTATATTTATACAATAATGTCAGATGCATTTCTATATGTATATACGTGTGTCTATGATATTTATAAAATATAATAAATTATTATCACATGACGTGTATTTCGGGAAGATAACATGATGTAGTATTTACAGCAAGGTATCGGTTTCATGTGATTATGGATGGGGCTATGATGCCTAAATATACACAAGAATAAACGTAGAAAAAAAAACAGAAATATTTTATTTGATTCCTTTTTTAAATTTTTTTATTGTTTATTTCTATTTACTTGGTAAATTATATACTTTCAAATATATATTTTGAATTCATGTATTAGTAGGTAGTTCAAATGCTTATGCATTGTTAAAAAAAAAAGAGATTAGTTACTAATTAGTAATATATAGAGTGCACTTAGTATAGATCAAGAAAGAGGGAGAGAGGAAATTACGGTCAATTATGATATTCTATGGATTATGCGAATCTCAATCAGGTTATAGCAATTAACTGCAAAACTACATTCATGAATTTAGTCTAAATCATGACAAGTGAACAATTTATGTTTCATTATATTGCTCGTGGTAAATACATAGATATACTATAAAGTTTGAGATCCATGGACCAATGATTTCGACTCCAACGATTTTTGTGATATTTGCTCGCCGTTCATGTTAAAATTTAATCACTAGGCCAACGTAATAAAATAAATAGATGGCTTTGTTTTTCACCATGAAATATATATGTGAATAGGCTCTTTTCCTCATATCGATTTGAAATACAATTTCAGCTCATGACAACAAATAAAACTTGGTCCGTCAAATATATAAACATGCATGTAAATGTGCCAACTTTCATTGGATTACAACAATGTAAAACGAGAAGGGCAACAGAAAGATAGGATAGAAGGGGAGAAACCCCGAATTTTACAAACGGTTAACGTTTTAAGCGTTTATTGCATCTTTGTGGAGCTCGATAACCCAACAATGGTAGACCCGACACACGAACTCGCAACGGGCGAAACCCGCATCCGCTGCTAAAGCTTCGAACTCGGCTCGATCCCTCTCTTTGCCTCCCGAGCAATGCGCGAACATCAACATGTCCATATCGAAGGAAATATTCGCGTATATGTCGCCGCTCTCTGCTTCCGTCGGTGTGACTATCTCAAACAATACCACTTTGCCTTTACCCGGCAGCGCCTTCCAACAGTTTTTAAGAATCTTCACGGAGTCTTCATCGGTCCAATCGTGAATTATCCTCTGTAAACATTTAATTAGAAGCAGGAACCCTTTGTTGAAATCTTCTACCTTTGAAGATATTAATATAGAAAACCCTAATAGATTTTCTTTTATAACTTACTTTCATGAATATGGCATCCCCTTTCGGGACATCTACAAACATATCCCCGGCCACGTGCTCTACGCCTGGAACCATGAGAGTTGGTTAAACATTAATTTTATATATATATATATATATATATGTATATATTTCATATAAATTCTCTTGTAAGAGAGATAAGGTAAAGCTGCTTACGAGGGTAGCTTGGAGCGAGAGGTATAACACAAGGTATGTCGAAATTGATACCCCTCATGTTGGGATAATTTGACGTAATGATTCCGAGAGCCGTACCAATTCCTCCCCCGACATCGACCAACACCTCGACACCTTCGAAACCTTTGTAAACTTCGACCAGCCTCTTCATCATCAGGGTGCTACAACCGGATTGGTTAAATATCTTCCTGAATCTTTGGTCCGTTCCCATGTACTCGAAGAGTTTCATACCGTGTGCCCGGCTGAACGCATCTCCTCCTTCTAGTACCACGTCCTTCAAATGGGTCCTAATTAATATCCAATTCCCGAATTATTTGCCCGATCAAATATGGAATGAATCGTGTGTATCTACTCATACGGGGGCAAGAGAATATACCCTAGATCTATTATTTCTTGAGATGCTATATTGAGAAGCGGTCCATCCGTTTGGAATAATGCATTAGAAAGAAAATCCAAATTACCAGGTGCTCAGAAAGACTTGGTCGTGATGCACCAGGACTTGTGAAGCAAGGGAGCCCAGTTCTTGATTACTGGTCAGGAAGAACCGGCAGATGGGTTTGGACCCATAAACCCTCTGGACCTCTCCGACCATATCCTTGTCTCTGGCGTGGACCGTGCGGCACGCCACGATGTCATAGCTGGCGAGAAGGCGGAGCATCCGGTCCAACAAGGTCGGGGCATCGGGGTTGCGAGGTCTGGTCGGAAGCCGACAAGCTATCTCCGCAGGAGTAAGGAACGAACCCTCGGCCGTGGAGTGGAGAATGTCGAAGAGACCGAGCTCGAGAGCCGCTTTCAGGACCATGGGGAAGGCAGCCGCATTGGCTATCCTCACGGCTAGCAAAACCACCTCGTTTTCTTCATCTCCGGCCGTCTTGATTTGAGGGTTTGTGATAAAGGATTGTGAAACAAGGTCTTTCATTGTTTTCTTTCTTCTTCGCGAAGGTACAGAGATCAGAGATCAAGAGATGATATTTTTTATTTTTCCTTTTTTTTTTTTTTGGTTTGGTTTTGTACATTCAAATGCATATATTTGGTCTGATTTTATAGCGAGATCTCGCGCTCCGTATAACAAATTAATGATGAAATTAAATGGACACGTCTCCTATTGTAACGGAGCAACCTAAATCCCACTCGTAGACAACTCTCGCTAAAGATAGTATTGGTGGAAACCCCCAATTGATTATATGAATAACAAAATATAATACTAAAATAATTGGTGCATGATAATCAAAAATTAGAATATTGACCTCTGGCCAACGACAAAATTTGCTGGTTTGCAACGATTCTCTTGAAATTTTAAATTATCATCATATAATTTTCTTTGTTTTTTTTTCAACGAATGAAAATAAAATTGTCCACGAAATACTATAGCATGTTTAATTGGTGGAACACGCGAGATAAGATGCATGAAGTAGAAAGATCATATAGCGAAATTTTATTGATACTAATAATAATAATATTAAAAATATAACATATTTTCATCTTATTGCATGATTGGTAATTTAGCTGCCAATATCGTGAGTTGTAGATTATTCTACCATTACACAACTTACCAAATTGAAATCTTTATTACACATCTCTTTATTATATCTCTAATACAAATCTTTATTATATCTCTTTATTTTTTTTTATTATCATGCGTTATTATTGTTTCTTTAAATACATATTTTATAATGTGAATGACGGTAAAGTACAGGACACTAAATTTTTTATTATTGTAATTTTATAATAATTAATTGGATAACATATATTTTAATACGCGGCGTCTATGACATGAAATCATACCTAACTCTGAATTATTTTTAGTTTATGCGTCACGAATATCTCGAATTCAGAACTTGCACTTGCGGCCTATTGGTCCCCGAGGTGAACAAATGTCAGCCTCCTCTCAACTCGAATACTATTATTTGATTTCGTTAAGAGTTTATATATATATATACACACACACACACACTCCAAATCAAATATTTTGTGGTGCTATATAATCAACCTTAATTACAGGTGCACAATTCACCCTATATGAAAATTAAAATAACCGTGACTAAAAAACGTTCCAGCTTAATTCGTTTTTTTATTAAGATGATATGTGAAAATACTTTGATTAATATAAAGGCAAATCATCATATCTATTCATTTAAATATTGAAAGATTAACCTGAAGATTATTATTTGATGTAATTCCGGTTTAACTTTCCCAATTAATTTGAGATATTACTGCTAAACAACTTTTTCATAAACTTGACAATTGACTTATCTGATGGATTTACAATGCAAGAATTATGGTAAAAAAATTTACGTAAAAAATAACAACGATCACAAGTTTATTGAGATAAAAATTTAAAATTATCAAACCGTTAATTTTATATAACGAGGAAAACTGTTGACACTTGGAAATATTTTCTGCGAGTAATTTTGATGTTTATATATTCATTTAGCGATTTAAATTTTATTATATTTTAGGAGGCGACAAAAAAAATGATGCAGGAACGTGAGAGAAAAAAAAAAGAAAGAAAGGCAAGGGGGACCACCACCTAAACTCCCTCCAATTATATGCTCGTCGCCGTCCGATATTCCTTAAATATATAGCATTCCGTTTCCCCCCTCAAATTTAATTCCAACATTCAATATTACCCCGTAATTTTAATAAAGTTCTGAAAACCCCCCGCCCATGCTTGCGACCAAACCGAGTTCATTCGGTTGGTCTATTGATTACTAAAAATTAGAAAAACTCATCTTAGATCAGAAAATCTTGATTTTCTTGAATCCAACGTTTTTCTGAATAACGTGGGAAACATGAAAACTTATTCACCAATTATTATGGCCATCAAACGACAAAATGCATGGATTTGCACTATATATATCTATATATATCCACGTAGATTTTACATTACAATATCACTTCTCCGAATCTAGTAAAAAAGTAAATCGTAAAATATTTGCTTATATATATATATATATCTTTTTTTTAATAATCTAGAAATTCACTGGGTCTTTGATTCAACTACATCTTTCAGAGCACCGAAGAAGAAATCCATGTGAAAATCTTTCTCCAAATGAAGACTCGAACCCGAATTAGGAAAGAGTTTTGTTCTTTTTTTATCGGTTGAACCACTCAATTTTTGATTTGATTGATTCTATGTACATCAATAATACAAAGTCATCAAGATTAATATTATTTCTAGAAGATGGCTGCGGCACACCCCAAAGGTAGCTCTTGCACATGGCCACGAGTCACGGTCCAAGCACAACATTTAGCTTGATATAATATTGTAGTTTCTGTATATTAAAGCCTAGTTTGTTTTTTGGGCCAAGTTCTAATAGCACCTATAAGGCCACGGCAAGTAAATGTTTTTCGTTGGGGTTAACCCTAGTTAGGGATCGAGGTGGCGAATAGAAACAATTATTTCATGTGCAGCTGTCCATTTAACTTATTTTAAAGTCACATAGGATCTTAATTTATTAGTAATGAATTTCATTGTTATTTGTCACGCACGAAGAGAGAACCACGTGATCGACCTTGTTGATCCATTTCGATATAAATTTTGCTTTGTAACCAATTCTTTGGTTAAGAAAAATGTTGAAGTGGGCCAAGTTGGTAAGAATTTCTTATTCGAGTTTTAGGGTTTTGGTTTGGAGGTTGTTTGGATTTAACCAAAGCGCGATTTAATAATCGGATGTCGTGTGGTAATTTAGCATTTTGTGTCCGCTTATTAATATAATAACGTAAAAAAAAAAAAAACTCGACTCGTATGAATAATTAGTGCTTTTGTAAAAGAAATCATCACGACTCCATTACATTTTTTTTAATATTGGGATGGCGCATAAACAATATAAGTATATTTGTTTTTGAAGTGCAATAAAAAATTTGAATATTTTTTTGCCATTTGGGCAAAAGTAGACATTTTTTTTAATAATGGTGTTAATTGTTGGTAAATTAAATATTATTAAATAGTGCAAAAAAGGTTTTGCCTTTTGGGAATGGGCTGTCAAATGTCATCATGCCACTTGTATTATTGAAAAATATAAAGTTTTTAATATTCACGATGAATTCTCGATATATATATATACTTAACGTTTTTCATAAATAAAAAAACGTTTTCTATATTTTTCTAGTCATATGGGATCTTCCTACGTATCCACACGATGTAAATCGAGAGCGAAACGATAACGTGATTGTGATGTAACGGTGATTAGCCTGCATATCCTCCTTCTAAGCACCATTTTGAATTTTTTTTGGGAACAAACACCGGTGGATATACATAATTATGATCGATGTTCGAGCATATATATATATATATAATAAGTTTTTTTAGGTAATCGAATATCCTAAACCAATGTATGGACTAATTTCGGGACGGGATCAGATGAGATTTGGATATATAATAAGTTATTTAGTACTATTGAAAGAAGTACCATACATTTCTTCAAAATTTTATAACTCTAGATAATCCTCTTCTATTAATTCCGCCGGATAGAGGCTCAAACCATCTTTAATTTTTTCTTAAATAATATACCAATTAAAGTCGAAACGAAAAACATGTTTGTTTCGTTAATACTATAAAATACATTTTTAATATATAGTATAATTAACCTCGAGATTCAAGATTTGCTGCCTAAACCTTAAAAGAAAATTATGTCAAAATCGAGTAGTACATAGCGAAAGGAGACTCGCGATTCACGTGCATGTTCTCATGGATCTTCCAAAATGCCATTTGAAATTTTTGGACCGAACGCGGCGCCAATAGTGATATATAAGTATCGTCGAGATTCGTGATTGCCAAACAAATTATTTAGTGCTACTTACTGAAGGGTCCATGTCAATATTTTGTAATTTTGTGAGATCCACTGTTAAAGATTTCGATAAAAGCGTAGAAATTTATTATCATCGAAAGCATAAATGTCTTCTACATAAAGATAACTTTTGAAAATAAAGAAATAGAAATTATAGGATATATTATACATATAAAGATTATATAAAGCAATTACAATATATAATATGTGGATTGTAGAGAGGTTATATGAATATGAAAATATTCTAATACTCTTTTTTTTTTAAAGTAATACACTCCTAATATAAATATCTAGAATAAAAATACGGATGATTTGAGGTTGAACGATAAGAATAAAAATTAGATTGGAAATTTTACATGATTCAGAGTAGTTTATTTCGTAGATGAGTAATTAAACCAATTTCTCAAATATTTGAACATATTGTTTACTAAAATTTAGAAGAGTTTAAATATATGAGATGTTATAATTCGACGTTAGTTATTATGTACATTTTGTTATGGGAAACTTCAACCTAAAAACAAAAACGGAACTTTACCATATTAAACATTGGCGTTCCGAATTTTAAAAAATTAATGGACGGAGTTTGCGGTGTGAATAGAGTATATAGGCGAGATACTCGAGGCATAACGTATATATCTATATACAAGAAATGGTAAAAATTACTTTTTGGGAAATGATATTACACAAAAAACTATAAAACACTAAATGAATATAAATGTATGGAGTTTTTTAAAGGGTAAACTGGTAAACTGTGACAAAATATGTCATATCATTAAATCTATATTTTTTTAACCTTTGTAAACTATACTTTTTTATAATTTTTTGACAAAAATACACTTACTTTATTGTATAATTTCAATATTGCCATGTAACACTCTAAAAAAATATGCACCATAAAAAACAGTTGAAAAAATTTGCACCATTGTGCCAAATATGTCATGTCATTGGAAATCTATACATTTTTTTCCCTTCATTTGCAAACTATACCTTTATATAAAATTTTGACAAAAATCTCCTTACTGTATTGTCTATTTTCAATATTGTCATTTAGCGTTCCGAAAAATGTACAGTATGAAAAGCAGTTTTTTTTAAAACTGCGTTATCCAAGAGAACTGTTTTTCATCCGAGACAACTATTTTTCATCGGAAGAATTTGTTTTCATCCGGGAGAATTATTTTTTATCCGAAAAAATTATTTTTTATCCGGACAAAAAACAGTTCTCCTAGACAAAAAAACAGACTCTAACGGACGAAAAACAGTCTTTCGAACAAAAACAGTTCTCCCTACAAAAAACAGATTTTTTCGGACGAAAAATAACTCTTTCTGACGAAATACAGGTCTCCCAGACAAAAAACAGACACTCTCGGACGAAAAACAGCTCTTCCGGACAAAAAACAGCTCTCCCGGACGAAAAACAAACTCTCAACAGCTCTCTCAAACAAAATACAGCTCTCCCGAACAAAAAACAGACTCTCCCGGATAAAATACAGCTCTCCCGGACAAAAACAGACTATCCCGAATAATACAATTTCCAAAAAAATTTGGTGTTCATACTGCACATTTTTTGGAGCGTTAAATGGCAATATTGAAATTATATCATAAAGTAAGGGTATTTTTTGTCAAAAAATTATAAAAAAGTATAATTTGCAAAAGAATAAGAAAAAAAAATATAGATTTCTAATGATGTGACATATTTGTCCATTTTACCAATTGCTCTAAAAAGATTTTTTTTAGAAATTGTGTTATCCAGAAAAGTTTGTTTTTTGTTCAGGAGAGCTGTATTTTGTCCGGGAGAGTCTATTTTTTTTTGGGAGAGCTGTATTTTGTTCGGAAGACTCTGTTTTTTGTCCGGAAGAACTTTGTTTGTCCGGGAGAGCTGTTTTTATACGAGAGAGTTAGTTTTTGTCAGAAAAAATCTGTTTTTTGTTCGGGAGAACTGTTTTTTCTCCGGAAGAGTTGTTTTTCGTCCGTTAAAGTCTGTTTTTTTTACTGGGAGAATTGTTTTTTGTCCGGATAAAAAATAAATTTTTCGAATAAAAAATAATTCTCTCGGATGAAAACAAGTTCTTCCTAATGAAAAACAGTTGTCCCGGATGAAATACAGTTCTCCTGGATAACGCAGTTTCCAAAAAAATATACTTTTTATACTGCATATTTTTCGTAGTGCTAAATGACAATATTGAAAATAGACAATAAAATAAGGATATTTTTGTCAAAAATTTATATAAAGGTATAGCTTGCAAAGGAATGAAAAAAATGTATAGATTTCCAATGACATGACATATTTATCACATTGGCACAAATTAAAAAAGAAAAATGTTTGGCATGGAGATAGAGAATGAAAAATCAACAAAAAAAGGTATAAATTTGAGTCATTATTATTATGATAAGATTATATATATATATATACTAAAAGTAGAAAGATTAGAAATATAATATGATAGGATGTAAAAATATAAAAATATAGTATAAACTTTGTGTTTAATCATTGAATAAGGATTCCGACAACGATAACCCCGCCCTAGTTAAGATCATATCTCCCACTGGCCACCTTCCTTTCCGCCCAATATTCAATTCAATATTAAACCCTAAAATACCATGGATTCTATGAAAGATTCCCACATATTCCAAAATTGGCTCCCACCCGCAAAGTTAACGAGGTGATATTTGACCGCTTGATACAGATTGTGCACCGAAACGGGAATCTTACACAGAATGTTAGACCTAATTTGTTAGAGATAATCGATCATCGGATTTAATGTATGATGTGACGTGACACGAATAATTACGTCGAGATTATATGGAAAACCCTAAATAGGGAAAACAACACACGGGCAAAATAGGAGTTCTGCTAGTGGAGAACGAAAAGCATGCAATATAATAAGATATTTAGCCCCATGCTTTAGCCCATAGTGTTGGCATGTTGGATGTTGGCTCGGTCCTTGTTACAAAAGTACTGATTGGTAATTACCATTGATATGATTGATATATAGTACAAGACGTTATATATAGTTTTTAAAATTCTAAAAAAAAATACAATCTAAAATATATTAAAGAAACCAGAAGAATTAGAAAGATAGTAATACGTACATTTTAAATCGTGTAAATTTTTCTGTAAGATTCAATGTATTACCACGAACTCATGTATATCAATAGATCGATCTATAGGATTGATTGATCTTCAAATCTCTACTCTAAAGTTTATCTCAATAAAAAAATTATTCTACTCTAAAGTTCATGATGATTAGTGTGACGAACAAAAGATATAATGGATTGGTAAAAATGAATGTTTATTTTTTTTTACCCCTTTGGAGGAGTTTAAGAGAGAAAAACAAAACAAAACAAAACCATATGGTCTTCTTTCGTTTTTTTTTTATAAAACTTAAATTGATAATAACGTAAAATTTGGTTTGTCTTTATCACCGCCCTTCTCGTATTTGATCACTGATACTCGCCGAAGTTAAAGAATTTCAAACCTAGAGAGATATACCAAGCTCTAATATCATGATAAATAGTAAAACAGTTGGTATTATCGGTAATTAGAAAAATTTAAGTAGAAAATACAGTTTTTTAATATAAAAGTTATAAGGGGTAATTGGTAAACTCTGACAAATATGTAAATATGACATCATTAGAAATCTATATTTTTTTCCTTCTGTTGTAAACTATACCTTTTTATAATTTTTTGATAAAAATACTCTTACTTTATTATATAATTTAAATACTGTCATTTAGCACCCTGAAAAATGTACACCATGAAAAGTAGATTTTTTTGGAAATTGTGTTATTCGGAAAAACTGTTTTTTCATTCGGGACAACTGTTTTTCATACGAGAGAGTCTGTTTTTGTCCGGGAGAGCTGTATTTTGTCTGGGAGAGTCTGCTTTTTGTCCGGAAGAACTGTTTTTTATCCGGGAGAACTGTTTTTCATCCAGGAGAACCTGTTTTTTGTCTGGGAGAGCTGTTTTTTGTCCGGGAGAGCTGTTTTTTGTCCGGAAGAACTGTTTTTTGTCCGAAAGAGTTGTTTTTCATCCGGGAGAGTGTTTTTTTGTCTCAGAGAACTGTTTTTTGTCCGGATGAAAAATAATTTTTTCGGATAAAAAATAGTTCTCCCCGGATGAAAACAAGTTCTTTCGGATAAAAAACAGTTGTCGCGGATGAAAAACAATTCTTCTAGATAATACAGTTTCTAAAAAAATTTGTTTTTCATACTACACAATTTTCGGGGTGCTAAATGGAGAAAATAGATAATAAAATAAGGATATTTTTGTAAAAATTTATATAAAGTTATAATTTGCCGAGGAAGAAAAATAAAAATGTATAGATTTTCAATGATATGACATATTTTGCACATGTGCAAATTTTTTCAAGTTCTAAATTTATAAGAAAAATATAAAAACAAAATAAATAGAAAAAAACAAAAATAATAGATGCAGAATTGTAATAGCGCCGAAACTATGCGTTGAATGTGATAAGAGGCTCTTTCATTTATTTTCTTTTCGGTGTCGGCGTTTGAATTCTGCGACCATTAAGTTCAAGTCGAGTAGTGTGCCAAACGCAGCGTCCGTGAAAGACACGACGTTCGAATACGGCCAAAGTTCTATATGCCTCGGTTCTATTGTTTTTCCTAAGACTTGGATGACAGCGAGTTAAGCAACCAGTCGTGTCGGGACCTAGTTGTATGTCATGTCGGGGTCAGAATGGAATCGACAACCCAGCCAGGTCCAACTTGAATATATAATACCTAATATATATATTTGAATCGATTTTTACATATATAACCATGCATGTAGACATATATTGTCATAATTTGGGGATTTTGTCGATATTTAGAAAGTGAATCCGGTTTGTTTTGAAATTTTTTATAACCCGGATTTAATCCAACTGAACCATAGAATGCAAAATACTCGTATCTCTACCAAATAAACGTGAAAAATAAAAGTTTTTTTTTCTGTAGAATACAAAAGTGCGGTAGGACGTTTATTGTGGTCGCAACATAACATACAAAAAACATGTATTATATGATTTTATTCTCTTCTTCTCTCGCATGTTCAAGAAGAATCTTCTTGCTCGAGAAGCTTAGTAGCCACATCCCTGGCCTTGCACATCGCCACGAGCGGCCCGGCCATGTGCGTGATGGGTCCCATCCCCTCCGACATGTCCACCGCTGCGCCGCCGACGGTATTCCACTCAAAACACTGAATAAACGTCCCGAGAGTCAGGCCGACGATCTTGAGCCCTAAGGCGCCACCAGGGCAAGCCCTCCTCCCGATCCCGAAGGATATCAGCCTATACGTATCCGTATCCGTATCCGTATCCGTGTCCTTACTCTCTCCCTCGAACCTCTCGGGCCGGAACGTGTCCGGGTCGGGCCAGACGGTCGGGTCGTGGTGGATGGCCCATGTGTTTACCTGTACGATGGTGCCACGTGGCACGTGGTAGCCACCGATGGTGCAGTCGGTCGAGGAGTAGTGAGGGAGGAGGAAGGGACCGGGCGGGTTGAACCGGAATGTCTCGGAGACGATGTTGTTGAGATAAGGGAGCTTGGGGAGATCCGATTCCTCCATGACTCGGTCTTGTCCGACTCCGTCATCGATCTCTCTCCGGGCTTTCTCCATCACGTGGGGGTGATTTAGTAAATTCGCCATCGCCCATGACAGTGTGGCGATCGAAGTGTCCGTCCCCGCCAACATCATCGACTGCACACACACCGTCATCACATGTTACTTTTCTCTGTCTCGTGGTCCAAATCCGATGTAACGTTTTCGTATATAATAGTATTTGTTAATTTTTTATGGGTATCCTTCTGATATTCCCAAGGGTTCCATTAATTCACTGCCAATATAATAACATATCTCGGTTCATCAGACGTCACTTATATAATAATTAAATGATATCTAGCGCAACACAACTTACTAGGTGTGGAAACCATAACAAAGAAAACTCAATATCAATCAACTTGCGATTTCAATTATTATTCCGTGTATATATATATATATAAGGCTCGAGGTTTTGTAAAAACTATGATTGAGATTTTGTTATTTGTACATATATTATGTAACGTTTCCATATCTCCCACTTCATCAAACGTTATTTACAATATAACTACCTGCCCTAAAATATGCTAGTGCAACTAGGGAGCCTTGGAACTTATTGTGTTAAAAGTATTTTTTTAGAATTTAATAAAACAATATTCGAACAATTAATCCACCAATACATATATATATATATTTACATACCAGGTGAAGTTTCCGTGATATTCGGAATCTCAAAATTTTGTGTGTACAAAGATCTTGCAAATCCGAGTAAATAATTAGATGCTTACTTTGTCAACATGTTTGAATTAAAAAACATTATTTATTAATATATTATATATATATATATATATTAAAATTTTCAAAAAGTTTCGGTTGGTGTAGATTTTCGATATTAAGGTGTTTTTCCAAATAGAAAACAGATTACTAATTTCTGAATTTATTAATAATTCTCAATCCCCAATAAAATACAGTAGATAGTTTGCTATATAGTAAAATTTCGGATATTTATCATATTTTTATTCTTTTTGGTATTCAGTCACCAAATAAAAAAAAAATTGGTCAAATACTACAAGAATAAACGGATTATCAGTTTTGGTGTGAGGATTGTGTCACGTCGATATACGCATTAGGTCGTATATATAGTATGAACAGCAAAAGTAGATGTATACGCACCTGGATAAGGCCTTTGATGACCTCGTCGGTGTACTGCATGGGCTCTTTCTCCTGTAGAACCAACAAACGGTCGAGCATCGTGTCGCTCTTGACCTTCTTACTCCTCATTTCGTCGACGAGCCCCTGCGTGAACTCGTTCATCCTAAACCCTAGCTCCTTCACCCTCTTCACGTACTTTGGGCTTATCCACTTTAAAATCGGGAAATAATCCGCTGGATTGCCCAGCCCGCTCTTGTCCAACACCTCCTGCATTATCGCATGGAACCTTCTAGAACTTTCCTCCTTTCCCTGGTCGTCGTCGTAGTACCTTTTTCCGGCGATCATCCTCATTATGTTGTTCATCACGACCACCGTTATCGCCTGCCTCAGATCCACGGCCACTGGCCCTTCACGCGCCTCACGCGCGAGCTTGACCACCATGCGTCGTACCTTGTAGGAGAATGAATATATTGTTATAATCTAAGCTAGATCTGATATCTGATGTAATATGTATATCTACGGACTGCATGCTTGTCATTACCACCACTAGGGTTTAGTTAGTTTTGTCATTCGCACTTGTTTTCGGGTTTCTCTAAATGTAACAAGATGTAGATCATAGATGTTTATCACACCTCGTCAGCTCGTACGGACAGGAAGAGGTTTAGGCGGTGAGAGGAGACCATCTCGACGGCGGCGATTCGCCGGAGGTTCCTCAAGTGTGGACCGTACGGCGCCGTTCCGATGGTGGTGCTGTCGTAAGCCACGTACTTGGTGTTGAGAAACTGCGGTCGGTTGGCAAGGATTTTGTCGTTGGGGCCAAAACATTCCTGGACGAGAGACGGCGAGGAGACAATGACGATGCGGCGGTTTCCGACACGGAGGGAGAAAACCGGACCGTATTTGTCCGAAAGCTCACGGAAGGTACGGTGAAGTGGCTTCTTAAGGTAGAAGAGGTGACCAACGAAAGGAAGAGATGGTGGAGAAGGAGGGAATTGCTTGCGAAAGCTTTTGCCCCATGGCAGGAGAAGTTTCAGAGAAGCTATCAGAACGACGATGGATAATGCGGCGACTATCATCGTCTCCTCCATAGTGGCAAAATCGGTAATTAATTGAGATATTGATGGTGGATTTGCAGATGAGAGAGAGACTTGCGGTCTTTATATAGAAGGGGGAGAGGTCTACAGATTATACACATAAGAATAAAATATCATGAGATGACACGGAATTTAATCTATCCATCGTAATTGTATATTTAATTCAGATATTAGTATTAGTTATATGATATTCTAAAATTTTACTATAAATGATAGTATAATCATTTATCTTTAATAATGAAAATCTATATATTTAAAAGTTGGATCCGAAAGAATATAGTGAAGCCACCTAAACTTCCAATTCATCATTTAGTGTCAAGTTTTTCATTAGTTAATTAAATTAATTAAAATTTTTATTAATTATATTAGTTATATGTAAATTGATTGGTCTAACACTAATTATTACACACAAAATTAAAATTAGATTTTATAGAAGATTAAGTTATGCATATAATATAAAAGTTTATGAATAACCCACTATTTTTTTAATATATTATTTGATACATATAATCCAAAATAAACCAATTCTAATGTGTTTTTTAATAGAGGTTTTTCAAAAACTTCTATAAAAATATATTAAAATCCAAGTTCAAAAGTTATATGAATAGATATATCTATATATATAAAAGTTGGATTTGGAGGAATATGGCGAAGCCATCTAAGCTTCCAACTCGTCATCTAGGTGGCAAGTTTTTCATTAGTTAATTAAATCTATATATATAAAAGTTAGATTTGGAGGAATATGGTGAGGACACCTAAGTTTCCAACTCATCATCTAGGTAGCAAGTTTTTCATTAGTTAAATAAATTAATTAAAATCTTTATTAATTATATTAGTTATATGTAAATTGATTGGTCTAACACTAATTATTACATGCAAAATTAGATTTTATAGAAAATTAGGTTATGTATATAATATAAAATCTATATATATAAAAGTTGGATTTGAAGAAATATAGTGAAGCCACCTAAGCTTTCAACTCATCATCTAGGTGGCAAGTTTTTTATTAGTTAATTAAATTAATTAAAATCTTTATTAATTATATTAGTTATATGTAAATTGATTGGTCTAACACTTATTATTACACACAAAATTAGATTTTATAGAAGATTAGGTTATGTATATAATATAAAATCTATATATGTAAAAGTTGGATTTGAAAGAATATAGTGAAGCCACCTAAACTTCCAACTCATCATCTAGGTGGCAAGTTTTTCATTAGTTAATTAAATTAATTAAAAAAATTTATTAATTATATTAGTTATATGTGAATTGATTGGTCTAACACTTATTATTACACACAAAATTAGATTTTATAGAAGATTAGGTTATGTATATAATATAAAATCTATATATGTAAAAGTTGGATTTGAAGGAATATAGTGATGCCACCTAAGCTTCCAACTCATCATCTAGGTGGCAAGTTTTTCATTAGTTAATTAAATTAATTAAAAAAAATTTATTAATTATATTAGTTATATGTGAATTGATTGGTCTAACACTTATTATTACACACAAAATTAGATTTTATAGAAGATTAGGTTATGTATATAATAGAAAATCTATATATGTAAAAGTTGGATTTGAAGGAATATAGTGAAGCCACCTAAGCTTCCAACTCATCATCTATGTGGCAAGTTTTTCATTAGTTAATTAAATCTATATATATAAAAGTTGGATTTGAAGGAATATGGTGAAACCACCTAAAATTTAGAGTTTACATCATATTAATATCTGATCAAAAGTTGAATATTGGAAATATATATATAATGTAAGATAAAATGATATAAAAAACCATAATTAAAAAAAGTAGAGTAACAAAACTTAATGGTGATTTTTTTTTTGGTAAAATAAAGGGAACATTAGATAGTAGAATTGAATTGGTGGCTAGGAATTTCCATTAAATTCAAGAACAAAATTGAAATGCTTTTATAAAGGGGTAATTTCAATTTTAAAAGTTAATTTAATTTTTGAAGAGCGTAATCAAATTCTATTTTGCTAAAATAATTGTGCTAATGATATATAACAAATTACTGAAGAAGATTAAATGTTTTCAAGATATAATGTATGTATGTATGTATGATAAAATCAAATAATTTATTAATGGTAAATTTATATATAAAACATAAGGAATACACTCGAAAACACACAAAAAGTTTATATTAGATGAATAAGTTTTAGTTATAACACACAAATGATTAATGAATGCTGTTCAAATTTCTAATTACTAGAGCCGAGAACGAAAAGGAAAAAAAAAATTCACCGGTACAGATATTATTTTTAGGTCACGTAATTTTTTCTCCCTAAATGTGATTAATTTCGTAACAATATAAAAATGCATGTATACTCTTTACTTTAGGGAAAATATGACTTCTGTTATTTGATTACGTGAAATATTTTTCTAACAAAATATAGTTTATTGAGAAATAAAATCTAAAGATAATTTAGCTTTTCGACGGAAAAACGTCACAATATTTTCTGTTTTTCATCGTACGGGAGTGGAAAATCTGAAGCCGAGTTGACTGGGTGAGTCACAACACTCGGTCGGTCCTACAAGACTTGTTCAAAATAAATAAAAACAGAAGAAAAATTGATTTGTGCGATTACAGAAGAAAATAAAACACGATTACCCATTCATCTGGCTATTCCCATTGTATAAGAACACAAATTCGATTTGATAAAAAATAATATTCGACGAGAAAAACTAACCATATTAATTTTTGGGTTATAAACCAAGCAGATTGAGGCCACGTTCATTGCACCCATCTGTTCCATCACGCAATTTCTATGGAAGAATATTACATTTACGTATATGAGATGGATAAGCCATCGGAAAAAAATTTCATTGAATGTGAAGAAAAAACCAAGAATGATGGTGATTGGTAAATGTATACATTAATTATTTACCCCAAAGCCAGCATTTATTTAGGAATATTCAGATGCATGCATTTTTAATTTGAGTATTTATTGATTGGTAGCAAATATTGACAATATATGATCATGTTCACTTGCTGACTACAACGTGAAATATGATTACGTGATAATACATATATATATATATATATATATATATGATTACAACGTGAAATATGATTACGTGATAATATATATATATATATATATATATATATATATAATTGCATCGGATCGATGCTTAATCCTTGAGATTCTAATCTAATAACAATGACAAATAAGTGTAGACAAAAATAAAATAAAATGCGTAATATTTAATTGACACTATATCGTTTTGCTAACGAATACGAGAAAATCAATGATTTCAGTGGTCGTACTCATATAAACATGATTTCACCATGCGTCCTATGATAATTTAATTTCGTAATGAAGTTGGCGACAACGATATTATTTAATATTTGTAACGAAAAAGGCATCTACGTGTAATTAATAAACTAACAGAAAGTAGGAAACAGGTGGGCGGAGAGTCATCGTTGTCGCCCGATTTGGATTTGTCTTTTATATAAAATATATATATAATCTTCAATTATTATGCATGCATCATGAGTATATAAATTATTTAGGTATTTTGTTGCATTTTAAATATTTATATTATGAAATTTAAGTTTATTATGATTATAATTACTCTTTCTTAAATACTATACCTACAACAGTTATCATTTCTAATAATATTTTATTTCCATTTACTTAGTCAACGGTTACTCTGCATTGAAAAAACATTTAGGGGAAGAAAAGAAAACATCGTGGTGGATCTAATCGATTCTCCCCATCGATATCTGTACCACTTATTTAAATTATAATAATCTGAAGAAAATATCAAGTTGTACCTTTATATGAGTATAATTAATTTATTAGTATATATTTTACATCCGTATGGAAAGTTTAATATACTTTATAAGATTTTTTATGTTGCGAACTTTGTAATATAATATGCATGCCATAAAATATAGTTTTCTAACAACGGGTGGATGATACATTATTAAACCTGTCTTTTGTATATCATCAAAATATGTGTTCCCGAGTCTACATTATAAGGATAGCGCATGTGTTTTAAGAAGAAAAAAGACACAGTTAAAAAAATAAAAATAAAAATAAAAACTTCGACGTAAGTTTGAATGTGAACAAAACATTTGAAAAATATACATGTTAATTTAACAGTGTAAATTTTGTTTATCATATGACAATTAATTTTGTCCGTGCGAATATAAAAATTTGTGTATTTAATAAATTTAAATTATGGCCACTGCTGTTACTGTACAGTTTTCGGCGATCTGGAATCGTGGGCTATATAATAATAAACGAAAAAAAAGAAGAAAAAGTTAGCGATAGTTGGATATTTTAATTTCGCTTATGATTTCCCATTATAAAATTATATTATTATTATTATTATTATTATTATTATTATTATTATTATGCACTCGTTACGATGGAGATGAAAATAATTGAAGCGGTAGGTGGTCGCCCTCGCTCCATGCGATGCTCGTGTTCATGGATCATTAATAATCATTTCAGGAACCAAATTAATTTATAACTATTTGACGCGTAACAAAATACATCATCATTTTGGCACTAAATCAACGAATATCTTTTGGGAATCCAATAATTAAGGCATACATATATAACTACGATAGAAATAATTGAATAAAATATGTATTGGGGTGATTACATTAAGGGTTTGTTCGCAACTTAGCAGAGTTGATGAATTGTTTTTTGTTTTCTAAAGTTTTGAATTTTTATCAAAATAAAATGATTACTTATTTAAATTTATTGGATAATTAATGATCGTGTAATGAATTTAGCTCTCCACACATGACAATAAAAAAAATATTACTCACTCCATTTCATAATAATTGATGTTTAAAACATAAACATACAGATTTTAAAAATAACATTTTATCCAAAATATCTTTATTTACTGTATAGAGAATTGTGATGCAAAATATTTAAAATTATTAATAAGGGATAAAATTGAAAAAATATTAAAAATTATATATAATACCTCAAAGCCGTTATTTATTTTGTAAACAAAAAAAAATGTTCCAAAACGTAACCTAAAGTGAAATGGAGAGAGTATATTCGGATTTGAAACCATCGGCATTCAAAGATAAGGGTGTAGAATGGGTTCGGTTCGACTCGTTCCGATCGGAAAAAATTTTAATTCAGTCCAGTCTAGCCTATTTTTAAACGAGCCGGCCCGCGAGCCAAATATACAAATTTTAAAAATAAAAAAAATTTAAAACTAATTTTAATATTTTAAAAATATTTAAAATATAATACAAGAAATAAAATTTTAAACAAAAACAAACTAAATATATATAATAAAAACATAATTTATATATAAAAATATTTTAAAATATATAAAAATTTTAAAATTTTAAAAAAAATATTTTTTTTTGGTCCACAAACAAGTCCGGCTCGTGACGGACTGGTTTGTTTGGCCCGGTTATTTTTGGGCTCAAAATATTTGAGTCCGACTCAGAAAATTTCTGATGGTACAACCCGTAAACCCACAATCTGCGCTCGTTTTACACGCTGATCAAAGATCCATGAATCTTCCTCGTTATCACGTGAAGGTGAATAAATGTATTGGCGACGAAAGATTTGGGTACGCTAGAATATTTTGTACACGGCCCATCAACTCTGATTTTTCACATTAACTGAAATTACAATAATTCTTACATTCAATGTACTCAATTACCTGAGAACATATCTTTCTAATATTTTGTCGGAGCGAAGAATTATTGAAGAAGACTTCGTATATTCAAGATAACAAATCACAATAGTTATAAGCATCAAACAATTTTTAAAATATCTAGTTATCATATAGACTTCTTCTGATTATTGAAACGTGTATTTATACGAATCTCAGATAAGCACTCTGCGCTACACATAGACAGAGAGGAAAAAAAAAAATGGAGGCACCAAAGGGTGGAGTGTTCTTCTCGGCGAGAGAGCTACACAATCTGATCCCTTTCCACCTCACCTTACGCGCCGCCATCGAGCTCAACGTCTTCGACATCATCGCCGGAGCTCCCCTCACCGCCGCCGAGATCGCCGCCCAGATCCCCACCGGGAACCCTAACGCCTCCGCCTCCCTCGACCGCATACTCCGCACCCTCGCCGCCTACGGTATCCTCACCGTCTCCTTCTCCTCCTCCTCCCCCCCTGCATATGGCCTGGCGGACGAGTTCCAGTGCCTGGTCTCGTCGGAGAAATCGTCGTCGGTGATATCGAGGGCCGCGAACGTCCTCGGCCACGCGCTCAGCCCGGGGTTCGACAGCTTCTGCGAGATGAAGCACGCGGTTCTTGAGGAGAACACGGTGCCGTTCGTGAGAGCTTTCGGCGTGACGCCTTACGAGTACTTCTCGGAACGGCCTGAGCTCACGAAGAATTTCAACGAGTCCATGGCTAACAACTCCAAGTTCTACATCGCCGTCGTCCTGAAAACTTACCGGGGATTTGACGGCGTTACGGAACTGCTGGATGTCGGAGGAGGTAACGGAACTCTGGTCGGAGAAGTAATCAAGGCTTACCCCAATATTCGTGGGCTCAACTTCGATCTGCCCTTCATCATCGATTCCGCACCAGCGATCCCTGGTAAATATATCTATTATTCCATCATCAATTAATCTTTACCCTAATTAAAAATTATAATAAAGTCTTGTCGGTGGTTGGTCGTAGGAGTCGAGCACATTGCTGGAGATATGTTCGAGAGCATACCCAACGCGGAAACTCTGATGATGAAGGTATAACCAGACCAAGATTTTAACTGGACCCTGTTTTTTTTTTTTTTTTTTTTTTTTTTTTTTGAAGATGAGGATCACAGCTTACTGGACGATAGTCCTTCTAAGGATTGTGGACAATGTAGCACTTCATCTACGATTCTCTGTGATCAACTTGGTCGAAAAGGAGCTGCCGAAGGATATCGTTGCAGAGATGGCGGATGGGGAGATACTGAGGATGCTGGAGGAGACTCCGTCTGTAACAAGCAAGAGAGAGAAGCTTAAGAGCAGTATCAAGCTTCTGAAGGAATCCAAGGATGCAGTGGCCGCCATTGCTGATCAGATCTCTGGTTATGAAGAGTATTGATGCTTGACGGGATGCAAGGAAATGGGGTGGTTTTGTGTCGGGGGCTTGTGTTTGTATTTTTGGAAAACCCTAAACCCTTTTGCTACTATATCTATATCGGCGTGTATGTATGTAGCCCCCTGAAATCGGGTAATCAATGAAGTAACTTGTGGAACTTTCTGTGTGAGTTTGTCCAAAAATGGCATTATCAGCTAAAAAGGCAATTCGATTAAAAAACAATTCTCTTTGAGACATTTACCCGAACACATAACAGACGAATCCCGTCGCCGGCCGGATCGACTATCCTCGGAACGACGTCTTGCGTCGGATCTTCACCGTGAACCCTTTGGAAGTTGTCGTTCGTGGAATCAGCGTTGCAGAGCCCAACAGATCCACCGCGAGTGGGATCCATTCCGTTAGGGATGAGATGGTCGGTGACGACAGAGACTCGTCGAGTCGCTGCGTCGAGTTTCTTCGAATCCGCCATTGGTGAATGGAAATGCGAAGTATAGAATGATGATGATGATCAGACACTTCAAAGCATGGACTTTGACGATGGAGGAAGAAGAGGACATTTTTTTGTTTAATTGTTAATTTTTAAATAATAATTATTTTTTCGACGACAGAGGGTTCGAAGTCGAAGATCATTGGCGCCTGTGTTTGTGTCGGATCATTGTGAATTTGTGACGATGGGATAAGATAAGGCCGGTCGTAGCGGTTGCGTTTCCAAACGCGCGTTTTCACTTCAGCTGTTGTCAGGCTTTGCATGGAAGCCCCCAAACTTTAGTTCGTCTTCTAACAATTCTCTGATCTTTTGAAATGTCTCCAGAGTAGCCCAGATCAAAGACCAAGAAAAATTTTCAGAAAGAGCCCAATAGAAAAACAGAGGACAGTCGATCAAACCGGCGATTCTGGAGAAGAGGAAGAAGGGACAAAGATCGTACGTTTTGCCCTAGGGTTTCGAAATGTGGAAGAAGAGGATGCCAATGTCGCAGAGGTTGGATTTTTTTTTTTCTGTTTATTATATATTTTTTACCTTTTAAAGTTTTGAAATCTCCTAAAATCGTAGAAGCTTCGAACATGGTCATAGGGGGATTGAAGGTTTATGATTTAGGGAAGGGGGGTTTTCATGAATCTGAAATCCATTTAAAAAGTTTATAAATTTTGGCAGATTGTGAAGGAATTTTAACAATACTTTTACTAAAAAAACATTGGGTTTCGATGGGTTTCAAATCCATGCCCGTAAAAGGCTCTGATGTGTGTATTTACTCCTCGCTTTCACATTCTGAAAGATTTTCATGGATGAAACACTGATTGATTATGTAAACTGTAAATGAGGGATTGTGTAATGTGGGAGGGAAGTGAAGATGGAAGATTCTGTAAGTTATTGCTTTGCCTCTGAATCTGCTTGAAAGGGTGAGCATGGAAATGCTGAATCAATTACTTGGACAAGAAGAAGGGGACCAACTTAGAATGGCATGGAAGCTTAACCACCCATTTGAACAGCCTACACAATATCATATTTGGACTTTGATATAGAATCCAAGATCTCTTAGAAGAGGGACCGGTTTTTTCGGCCACTAAGCTAAGAGCCCTTTGGAAAGTTAAGTAGAACGGTTGGTAAGTTTTGTGTTCAATCTCGTCCATTTGTATCTTGTTAACGAGTGCCAAAAGTCCGATATCATATATGCCTACGTACTCGATGAGTTTTCTTGGTTTCTTTTGATCCCATGTGAGAAAGTTGAAATTTTGATCTGTTTGATGAAAGGGTGAATAAGGGATATGATCATATTGCTGACAATTAGATACAGTAACGTATATAAACCTCTTAGATAGATCGGTTTTCTTGTCCTTCTTGCTTAAATTCTTCCATCGTTTCCAAGCTTTTCGAGCTTTCTCCTGAAACATTAAAGAAGTTGCTTATTTTCTTGATTTGCATTTGTCGGAGATTCGAAAGGTATAATGCTGTCACCAAGTAATTGCATAAGTAGGAAGATCTGTTGGACATAAGCTGTATGTATATACGTACATACATATGTGTATGTGTCTGAATCCCTTTTTTTTTCCTTTTTGTTCTATGTCTCTGTTTTGATGGATCCACACTGAAGAATTTGTTCTTTTTGTTGTTTTACCCATGAAGCCTTAAAAGGACTCCAAGGCTAATAAGTTGCAGAGAGCAGAGAATTTACGAGATTTATGAAATTGTAGCACACGTTTTGTTTCGGAGATATTCGAGGTACTATATATATATATCTATCTATGTATATATAACCAATCCAAACTATAAGTGATACAACAATATACATACTGCTCATCAAGCAACCAGGAAAGTTGTTCTGTTCTTCTCTCTCTCTCTCTCTCTCTCAGAGGAGAGGAGACTACAAAACAGTGAACAAGCCTGCCTTACACTAAATTTCTACCCTCTAAAAGCATATCAAAACACTCTCACACAACAGAGAATCGATATAAACGCTAATAACAGTATGTATGGATCATATAAATTCGCTAAAGATATACAATGGATGGATCATTCTAAATTCCCCTCAGTTTGCTTGCTCGTTGCAGGTCAACAGAGATCATGATCGGACTGAACACCGTTCCTCGATGGTTTTCCAATCTGTAAGCAATCAATCGGAGGAACTGTCGGTGTGTTGAGCTCTCCAAATGTCTGCCAACAATATCCGGCCGGATCGACTATCCTCGGAACGACGTCTTGCGTCGGATCTTCACCGTGAACCCTTTGGAAGTTGTCGTTCGTGGAATCAGCGTTGCAGAGCCCAACAGATCCACCGCGAGTGGGATCCATTCCGTTAGGGATGAGATGGTCGGTGACGACAGAGACGTTGTCCGATCAATCAAGACTTTCGATTTTGCTTGATGAAGGGAGAATTGTTCGAAGCATGTGCCAGAATTAGAACATATCTGTGGGAGGCCTTTGGGACTTCACTTCGAGAAGAAATCGGGAGATCTCTACATCTGCGACGCCTACTTCGGCATTATGAAGGTCGGTCCAGAGGGAGGATTGGCCGAGAAAGTTGTAGACGAAGCCGAAGGTCGAAAGTTTACATTCACCAACCACTTGGACATCGACGAGGAAGACGATGCCATTTACTTCACTGATAGCAGTGACACGTACCAAATCAGGTAGACATCGATTCGAATCTTTGAAATGTGAAAACGATATTTGTATGGAATGTTAGAATGTTTAATTAGCTCGTACGTTATCCTTGGAATGGAGCAGGACGGTGCTACAACTGTTTCTAAGCGGTGAGAAGACGGGAAGACTGATAAGATACGACAAGAAGACGAAAGAGGCCAAAGTTCTGATCGACGGCCTTCACTTCCCAAACGGTGTCTCCCTTAACAAGGATGGATCGTTCGTGATAGTATGCGAGCCGGCGGCCCTCCTCGTCCACCGCTACTGGCTCAAGGGCCCGAAGGCCGGGACACGAGACGTCTTTGCCAAGATCCCTGGCTACGGCGACAACATCAGGAGATCTCCCACTGGCGATTATTTCTGGATCGCATTGCACTCAAAGGCATGCCCTTTCGGCCGGTTCGCTTTGCTCCATCCGTGGATCGGGAAGTTCGTGATCAATACCTTCAAGCTCGAGCTCATGCTTTACCTCTTCGAAGGCGGGCTTCCTCACGCGGCGATCGTGAAACTCGGCGAGAACGGGGACATTCTTGAGGTTCTTGAGGACAGCAAGGGACGGAACATGAAGTTTGTGAGCGAGGCTCTGGAGAAAGACGGACAGCTTTGGATCGGATCCGTGTTTCTGCCTTTCGTCTGGGTTTACGATCTCAACTGATTGTTTCTATATTACGTTTTTATTGATGTGATTATCTAATTTAAGACTGCATGTTTTAAAAAACACAGCTTGTGTGTGATCTTTTTTTTCTTTTCTTTCCGCAGATATTATGTGTCGGATAACCTTGGATTTTCTCTTTATTTGATTTTTTTTTTGTTAGTCTCAACATAAAACACGTCCAAAAAACTTAATTTGTTTAAAAAATGAAACTTTTATTAGGAAGAATAAATTATTTTGTTAAATAAAAGATGAAACTTTTATTAAAAAGGACGAAGGAATGGTGTGTCTCACGCTCAACCACGGGAACAAAGACAGAGGCATTGCGAAAAATTCGACAGAACATTGTTTTTTAACAACTCAGAGTTCTTGTTTGATGTTGGAAGGTGCGGTCTCTCTCTTGAGGAAATCTCTGTACCAAAGGCCGGAGACTTTAGGGGTGCGAGTCAGATTGTTCTTGTAGTCGATGTGGTACAGTCCGAATCTCACCCCGTAACCGTCCTGCCATTCGAAGTTGTCGTACAACGACCACGCGAAATATCCCGTCACGTTCACCTTGTAATCGCTGCAACAAATTAAAGAACATGCATCATGAATACATATACATATATATATATATATATATATATATATATATATGCTGATATGGAAAACTTTAGAAATATATATTGAAACCAGTTATTGACTCACCAAATGGCTTCTCTCAAACCTAGAAGATGCCTCTGGTGATAGTATTTTCTGTTGTAATCTGCTTGTGCAACTTTAGGGTTTTCATCATCTGCCCCGAGATTAATTAATTGAAAACCCATTGATACATACAATATATATATTATATATAAGATAGTATAGTCTCTTATACGTACCGTTCTCCGTGATAATGATTTCCGGGTTGTTATATTTTTCCTTCATATATTTTAAGAGTTGTTTCAGACCTTGCGAGCAGACCGCGAATCTACCAGTCTCAGGCTGAAATAATATATATATATATATATGGAGAGGAGATATTATTACTCGAGATTATTTCATACAATATTATTCATAGAAATTATATATGTTATGTATGTGGGCAAATCAATGTGAGGAAAATACTTGGCCCCCAATCCGAAACCCGTCCTTATTATTGGCTGAAACAGAAATTAGAAAAACAAATAAAATATGTCTTAGTCATCAAATAGCTCACATATCAAACCGCAAAAAAAAAATGAAATAAAGGAACTTACAAGCCCAACTAACGCGAGAATCTGAGTACCAACTGGGTTTTGTCGGATCATATGTCTGAGTATCGATACCAAAGAAGGAGCTGTAGTAATTGAATCCAAGAAAATCGCACGAGTTCCTCAGTTTTTGCTTCTGTTCCTCCGTGAATTTGGGTAACCGATGCCCGACGATATCCTTCATCCTCTGAGGATAGTCTCCAAATGTGGTAGGTTCTACATGCCTGCATGTGACATAATCACATTTCATGAAATGAAAGAATTTATGTACCAGAAATTGTTTAGTCTAAGGCATATGAGAGAGACCAGCCGAAGACAAAGTCTAGCGCCCGATCAATGGAAGCCTCGTCTTGCCCGGCATGAGGCTCGAACCAAGCCGGACTGTGAGCGATTCCGATCTTACCACCTTTGCACTGCAATATGACCTCATTGATTACATTACACAGAAGATAACACTCCATGCATATATATATTATATTGAATCATAATATATATCAATGGTTCGTTTTTAAAAAAAAAAACCTTCTCGCATTTCCTGAAAGCTTGGACGGCCTCTGCATGAGCCAAGAGCAGATTGTGACTGACGAGGTAGGCCTCGTACCCGGACCGTCCATCTTCGCATTCTTCATTGATGTATTTGGAGCATCTGAAGGGCGCTTTCTTCCCCACATCGTAACCAGCTCGGCTGAAAACCCACGGCTCGTTGAAAGTGACCCAATGCTTGACTCTGTCTCCGTATTCGTTGAACACAAACTCTGCATATTCCGTGAAATCTTTCCTGTATATATATACGAGTGTACGTACACATGAGTTTAATTAGCCACATGATAACAATAAAAATTTGGTGGATTTGGAGAGAGAAAACTTACACGATGCGTTCGCTCAAAAAGCCGCCGTATTCGTCCTCTAAATCTTCGGGAGTGTCCCAATGGAAAACAGTCACTAGCGGTGTAATTCCTGAGCCATGACATTTATTCGAATGCATATAAGCACATATATATGTGTATCAGTGTATATATATGTGTATATACGTTACCATTTTTAATGAGCTCGTCTATGAGATCGTGGTAGAACTTCACACCAACTTTGTTTACCCCTTTGGCCTTCCTCCCATCTAATAATTATTTTTTTTTAAAAATACATCATTAATTTATTAATTAATATGCATAATTTAAGTCGAAACGAGACCATATGCGAGCTTACGTGGAAATACTCTAGGCCACGAAATGGAGAGCCTCAATGCATCTGTGTTCATCTCTTTCATTATCCGGATATCTTCCTGCAGCATTTTTTTTATGGCAATACAACAGTGATTTTTTTTTTCCTTCAGGAATAAATATGATCCATTTTGATAGATAAAATACCTTGTAACGATAGTAGAAATCAGTGCCGTTAATAACGGTGAATCCGCCACATTTAGCTGAATGCGATGAATCAAGTCAATTTAATTTCCTTGTATATAATAATATATAAGCAATAACAATTTTTGTGTGTGTGTGTGGAGATGAACAGAAGAAGAGAAAGACCTGGAAATTTCCGACAGGCGGCGTCCCACAAGCTCGGACCTCTGCAACCGCCGGTGGTGGCACCTTCAACCTAATAATGAACGAGTACGGTCGCCATTTTATCCAACTTATTTTCTATTATGTGTGATCGATCTGTCACCGTTTTTTTTTGTTATGGGTAAAAACGTATTAATATAAACAACATTTACAAAACATAAATTGTTTCAAAAGGGAAACTTTTTTTTTGGTATAACTGCACCTATATATCTTTTTTTTTTAATTTTTGACGCGTTTTGTTGATCGCTGACTATCAAATGGAGCAAACCCAACTTGATACTCTCTCCATATCAAAATATTTGTATTTTTAAGTTCTTTTCTATGTTTCAAGATATTTATCATTCTACATTTCAAGACATATTTTTACAATAGTTTTCAATTTTATCCCTATCAAATTTCAATAAATTATTAATGATAACATTGTTTTTATCATTAAATAAGAGTATATATGACTTTTTCTCTATTTTCTTAAAAAATGTGAAATAAATTAAAACAACAATTATTTTGAAACGGAGAGAGTATTAAATAAGGTCATCACCGAACTCTAGCAGTACATAATTATGTAGAATTTAATCTCAAATATTATGATTTCTCTAAAATCGAAAATATTGAATCTGAAACCCATAACTAAAAAATGAATAATTTATTTGAAAAAAATATTTTTAGAAATAAAAATTGAATGTAAATTAAACTAATTCAAACTGAATTCAATATAAAAAACCGAGTGATTATATCTTTTTTAAAAACCGAAATAATTGAACGGAAACCCAAACGGCCATCTCGATTCTCTAATAATAAACCCATTATAGTTTTCGTTTTAGTATAATATGAAGTGTGTATATGTATATGCATGTACCTGGAAAGCTGCAGTGGCGGTGCCGAACATAAAGCCCTTAGGGAAATAGGCTCGGCTGAAGCTCGTGCCATCGGGAGGGCTCGGGCACAGTGGCCCATCGGCCTTGGCCTGAGAACAGAGGATGGCGAGGAGCAGAAGCAATCCCAACTTGGCCGTAGAGATTAAAAAACTAGGGTTAGAGTTAAAAAAAAATCCCGAACCGAAATAACCGAATCGAACCAATTAATAGTATATCCACGTGATTAACCGATTTTATTCGGTTAGTAATTGAATCAAACGGTTATTCAATATTCATAACCAAATACCAATAATTGAAAGGAGTGATTTGGATGGATTCGTACATGGAGGTCCAACCCTTTGATATACAATGCGATTCTGGATGCACTTTTAAACATTCTATTTATTCAATACAAAATTTCAATAATTATATTTTTTTGTTTCCAATGGTTTCTTTTTCCATCTTACCTGTTTGCAAATGATTTTCATCGGGAGACGGACGGTCCAGATCATAACGATGGTGATGAAATTGTGACAAGAAAATCATATGAATATGTGAAATGATAAGAGAATGAAAAAGTTAGGGGACAAAAACTGGTAACACTGTATTTTTGTTTTTAAAAAAACATACTAACTTTGTAATGATGTATAACAGATTTGAATATAATAATCTTAGGAATTATTATTGATGACTCATATTAGTATAACATTAGAACTTTAAAGATATGATATTAGGATCTTGTAAACTGTCAATGTCTAATATAAAATTAAAATTAAAATTAAAATAAAATCTAAACATATCTAGACTAATCCTCAGTGATCTTCTCTTTTGCAGCTCAATTGATTTACTCACTTATATTTTTTTTGACTAGTTTGACTTTAAGCTTAAATAGGTTTAATCGTATTTCACAGATAATAATATAAATATCTCTAATCGTTTTATCAAATTAATCATTTTTGTGATTGGTTTGAACATTAAGTTGTAATTTATATTAGTATCACGAAAAAATTTCGATAAAAAAAATAAAAATGAAAAAGCTAGTCGTTGTTCCAGCTTTTATCGTCGATGAACATTTTATGAAACGCAGTACCTTCCACGTCCGTGGGTCCATCGTGGCACAGCGTCATGGTATTATTAATATATTTGTGCATATGTAATTATTTTACGCCTGTGGTTAGCCACGTGTAATATTTTACGCGCAAATCATAAAGATCTCCATTAAATATTCTTTACATCATAACCAATGTCCAGATTCGGTTAAGAACGCTATTATTAATTGATTATTCTATATATTAATTAATTGCGCATTAAATTTTTTTTCACAGGTAAGGTAAAACAAAACAAAAAAAAGTAGCTGATATGCCGAGTATCACGTGGAAAAATATTACTAGTTATTTTTATATTATCTAATTAATATATATCATTCAAGTTATATCCGAATCGTATATTCCTTTATTGATAGAGGTTTTGAAAGGATATCAAAAAAATATTGAAATAAAAAAGATAATATATTTTTAAAATATTTTGCTAAGATTTTTTCTATTATTTTGAAATATTTATATAATAATTATGCATCACTCAATTTAGATCAATTTAATTAAGTTTTATTAACGAAAAAATATTATTGGGTTCTCAAATTTTTAAAATTTATTTTTTATATCAAAAGATACATAGGATTAAAATTATAAAAAAGAAAAAATATTGTAAATAGAAAGAAAGAAATTTAGTGAGATCCTAAATACAAATAAAATTGCTAAATTACAAAATCAAATTTGTGAAAAAAAGTTTTTTTTTCTGATTTAAAAAATATTTTTAATTAATTTTAAGATTTAAATTATTCAATGATTTTTTTTTTATTGAAAATCAAATTATTTCATTTATTTTATATTATTTTAATAATTCAATATATTTTTACACTTATTATTAAATGCCTGAAATATTTTTTAGACGAGAGTAATGTATAAAATATTTTTAATGATTTATATTTATATTTTCACGAAATTTATCTACCTACCGAGATGACACGAATAAAAAATGCGCGTGGAAGATGAGCGTGGATCTCGATGCCAATCGAATTGTCAACACTATTAAATTTTAATAATCTCAATTTGGCTGCTCTTCATTTATGTTTTCTATCCACTTGTAATGAAAAAAAAAATCAAAATATCAATAATTCAGATCCACGACTATGAAGAGCAGGTACAAATAAATCCCGATATATTTGATTATTATAAACTAATTAGGCTAACATGATCATATTATTTTGTAATAATATACTTATGTCAGTACAAATCCTAATAAAAAACCCAAAGACTAATAACATAAATGCGAACTCGGAGTTGGAACAACATCGTGACGAAGAACAGGCAATTGCAGATGATTAAAATTTGTCATTGACATGGATCCGAATTATTGAGATTATTATCATCATTATTATTATACTTGATATAATTAAGCATTATTATAAATGAAGAGCAGGTACGATTAGAGATTATTAAAAGAGTGTTGACGATTCGGCTGGATTTGAGATCCACGATCATCTTCTAATTTTAAAAGCGTAATGATGGTTTAACGATGCTTTTCATGGCTATTTAAAAAAAACTACGGGAAATTAAGGGTGTGAACGTCATTTTCCAATAATAATATAATAATATCTGCACAGTTTATATAATCCGCACTTAGCCACCCCATCGACGGTTCTACACTTAATTATACTAACATGTTCACATTCCTTTATCGGCAGAATTATATTATTGAATATATATTTTTAATCGTGCAATAATTTTAATTAATATGTTCTTTTTTCTTCACTAATATCTTGTTTTCTTTTGTTCCAAAAGTTCAGTTGTTTTTTCTCTCGTTTTCTCCCACGTTTATATTCTAATATTTTCTTGTTTATACGTTCACATTATTATTCCTTACTTTTTATTTTGACATTTCAACTTATATTTCTTTTATATATAAATAATTAACCTTTTCTAAAAGTCATAAGATTATAATGTGTGGTGAATATGGCCCATAAGGTTTTAGTTTTTCAAGAAGTTCATCACGGGGGTTTTAATTTTTCAAAAACTCAGCAAATTTATAATATTGCGGAATATTTAAGAAGAACGTCACACTCAAACATATGCTTTCCAATTTCTACAATTATGACAATACAATGAACTAAAAATATCCATCCATTCATGGGACAAAGGTTTTGGTAATGAATGAAATTGAAAAAAAACATTGTTTTCAGCATCACATCAACATCGTTTAGGGGGCAAATATGGACTGCCCTTAGCTCGTTGAAAATTATTTGCAATAAAAAAAAAAAGGTAAGATGGGAAAAAGAAACCATGGGAACACATATAATTATAGAAACTATATAACCCATTAAAATGGAATATTTAAATTGCAACGAGACTCGCATGGTATATTAAAGAAATGACGGGATTTATTGGGATTGAATGTGAAGCCGATCTATATAAAGGGTTTGACTTCCATGTACCAATCCATCCCAAGCACTCCATTCAATTAGTGGTTCAGACAAAAAAAGAGAGTTAATCAATGGGATTGATGGAGAAGTTTCCTCCGCTCTTGGGGCTGCTTCTGGTCCTAACCATCCTCTGGCCTCAGGCCACGGCCGATGGGCCGGTGTGCCCCAGTCCCCCCGATGGCACGAGCTTTAGCCGAGCCTATTTCCCTCAGGGCTTTATGTTCGGCACTGCCGTCGCAGCTTTCCAGGTACATATACATATATATACTGTTGAGTGTAAAGTTTTTTTTTAAAAAAATATGAAACTTTTGAGTGCAAAGTTCTCGTATTTATACTATAATATAATAGATTCGGGTATAATATCTAGTGGGGAGTGTCACACTTTTATTTGTATGGTTCGGATCTTTTATGTTATGGAATATTTGTATCGTTCATGGTTAGGTTGAAGGTGCCACCAACGAGGGTTGCAGAGGTCCGAGCTTGTGGGATGCCTCCTGTCGGAAATTCCCAGGTCTGTCTTTTAATTTGTTCATCTAAAAAAAAGTATTGCATATATATACACACACACACACACACACGGAGGAATGAATTTGATCGTCGTTTGTCATTCCTTTTTCAGCTCAATGCGGTGGTTTCACGGACATTCAGGGCACTGATTTCTACCATCGTTACAAGGTATTTTCTGTTAAATGGAAGAGATCTTTTCTCGGAAAAAAAAAAAGGTTTTTGGGTTCATCGAAATGATTCACGGTTGTCCTGATCCAACAACAAAAAAAAATGTTGCAGGAAGATATCCAGATAATGAAAGAGATGAACACAGATGCGTTGAGACTCTCCATTTCATGGCCTCGAGTATTTCCACGTAAGTTTCTGCATCTTTTAAGGATGTTCACATGGTCTCAGCCTCGACATAATTTGATTATATTTAAAAATTAAAGTTTTTTGATTTTTGTTTGACATATATATATATAATTTTCAGATGGGAGGAAGGCCAAAGGAGTAAACCAAGTTGGTGTGAAGTTCTACCACGATCTCATAGACGAGCTCATTAAAAATGGTAACGTATATATACATATACACTTAAATAGAGAGATGGGTGTTATATATATTGACTTCCCGAGTATATATTCGAATAAATGCCATGGCTCAGGAATTACACCGCTAGTGACTGTTTTCCATTGGGACACTCCTGAAGATTTAGAGGACGAATACGGCGGCTTTTTAAGCGAACGCATCGTGTAAGTTTTCAACCTCGAAATCCACCAAATTTCTATTGTTATCATGTGACTAAACTCAAAGTGTACGTAAACTCGTATATATGCAGGAAAGATTTCACGGAATATGCAGAATTTGTGTTCAACGAATACGGAGACAAAGTCAAGCATTGGGTCACTTTCAACGAGCCGTGGGTTTTCAGCCGAGCTGGTTACGATGAAGGGAAGAAAGCGCCCTTCAGATGCTCCAAATACATCAAAGAATCATGCGAAGATGGACGGTCCGGGTACGAGGCCTACCTCGTCAGTCACAATCTTCTCTTGGCTCATGCAGAGGCTGTCCAAGCTTTCAGGAAATGCGAGAAGGTTTATTTTATATAAATAAATATCCATTCACATATTGATTCAACATGGAATGGAATGTTTTCTTCTACATATGTAAGTAGTCTGATCAATGAGAGACCGTTAATTGCAGTGCAAAGGTGGTAAGATCGGAATCGCTCACAGTCCGGCTTGGTTCGAGCCTCACGCCGGGCAAGACTCTGCAGCAATCGATCGGGCCCTTGACTTCATCTTCGGCTGGCATGTAGAACCTACCACATTTGGAGACTATCCTCAGACGATGAAGGATATCGTCGGGCATCGGCTGCCCAAATTCACGGAGGAACAGAAGCAAAAACTGAGGAACTCGTGCGATTTTCTTGGATTCAATTACTACAGCTCCTTCTTTGGTATCGACACTCAGACATATGATCCGACAAAACCCAGTTGGTACTCAGATTCTCGCGTCAGTTGGGCTTGTAAGTTCTTTCTTCTCTCTCCTTTTTCTTCTTGCTTCTTGTTCGAGTTGTGAGCTATTTGAACACTAACACTATCTTATTCACTTGTTCTCTAATTTCTGTTTCAGCCAATAATAAGGATGGGTTTAGGATTGGAAGCAAAGTATGTACCATGCCACCAATACATTCATTAATTACTTTCTATATGAACATACTTGTGTGTGTGTATATATATATATATCAAGCACTAATCAATGTCATATTATATTATTTCAGCCTGAGACTGGTAAATTCGCGGTCTACTCGCAAGGTCTGAAAGAACTCTTGAAATTTATCAAGGAAAAATACAACAACCCGGAAATCATTATCACAGAGAATGGTACGTATAAGATAAGAGGCTGTGGTGCCCCCATTATCTTGTATATACTGCTGGATTTTGGTACGTGGGTATCAATGGTTATTCATTATTAACATCAATTCATTAATGTTTAGGGTACGGTGAGAATCTCGGGGCAGATGATGAAAACCCTAAAGTTGCACAAGCAGATTACAACAGAAAATACTATCACCAGAGGCATCTTCTAGGTTTGAGAGAAGCCATTTGGTGAGTCAATAACTGGTTTCAATATATATTTCTAAAGTTTTCCATATTAGCATATATATATATTCATGATGCATGTTCTTTAATTGGTTGCAGCGATTACAAGGTGAACGTGACGGGATATTTCGCGTGGTCGTTGTACGACAACTTCGAATGGCAGGACGGGTACGGGGTGAGATTCGGACTGTACCACATCGACTACAAGAACAATCTGACCCGCACCCCTAAAGTCTCCGGCCTTTGGTACAGAGATTTCCTCAAGAGAGAGACCGCACCCTCCAACATCAAACAAGAACTCTGAGTTTTTAAAAAACAATGTTCTGTCGAATTTTTCGCAATGCCTCTTGTCTTTGTTTCTATGGTTGTGATTAAGTGTGGCCTGTGACGCTGTTGAGACCAACCATTTCTTCGTCCTTTTTAATAAAATTTGCGCATCTTTTATTCAACAAATTAGTCAATTGGAATATTTTTATATTTTTCTATGCCTTATCCCAATAATTCGAATCTACTTGTCTGCCCTTTTCTTCTATCCACTTGTAGAGAAATGAATAAATAATAATCTCAATAATTCATGTGCATGAGTGCTGACTATATATATCTGTACATTGAATAATCAACCCCCACTCATCACGCACTTAATTTAACATGATCATATTCTTAATTATATCAGTGAGTGAGTGTTATATAAATGCCTCAACAGCTAACCATCTCAATTATTTCTCTCTTTTGGAGAGGATATATACAAATTATTATGGATCTCCATTATTATAGAAGCAAACAGATCCGTTCATTTATTATACCACCAGCCCATATATATATATATATATTTTAGAATATCATTCGTGTTTCTCGAGGCAAGAAAGTCATATGCACGAGTGTATTAAGCCCCCTCATGCCATCATGAAGGAACGTGGGAGCTCGAGCAGTCGAGAAAAAAATAAAAATAATAATAATAATAATAATAATAAACCCTAAAGTAAGTCTGTCTTTACCAAAAAAATTTTAAAAGCAAATTAGTAATACCACGCGTTTTCCGGTCAAACACTTTACATAAGAAGACAACGCAGTCTCCTCCACGGCGTAAATTTAAATTTAGGAAAAAAACCCTAAAAATTTGTGAACTTATATTTTGGAGTAGTATTAATTTCTAAACTTGTAGAGGTGTCTATTAATTCCCAAATTTATAAAATTGAACACGTTAAATCCTAAATTTGTTAAACAGTTCCATATTCGTCTATAGCGTTATTTGGTCAAAAAACGAGTTGACCGATCCGACGTGGCTCACCACGTCACGCGCCACGTCGGATCGGTCAACTCGTTTTTTTGACCAAATAACGCTATAGACGAATATGGAACCGTTTAACAAGTTCAAGTTTTAACGTGTTCAATTTTGCAAGTTTGGAAATTAATAGACACCTCTACAAGTTTAAAAATTAATATTACTCCAAAATACAAGTTCAGAAATTTTTAGAGTTTTTTTCTTTAAATTTAAGATTGTATTTATCGAATTTACAAAGTGGCTCTCTATTATGAGTTCTATCTCTATGCAATTATTATGGTGGCACGGTCTACGTGGATCTTTCCTTTTCTTTCCAAGCAAATATGTTTTTTTCTTTCAAAAACAAATAAAATATTCAATCCCTTGTTTTAGTTATTAATATATTTTTCATCTAACTTTTTAATTATAGTTAAGTTTTATTTTGGCTAAACTAAAATATAGATATTAATTATCTAAAGTAATATATAAATTATTGGGTATACTTATTATTATCTCATAAAATAATATACAACAAAATATTGAATTTTTGTTTGGAATGTAGCATGCTCTGCCATATTAGATCATAATTCGATCTATTTGATAAATGATATAAAATAATTCGAAGCAATCCACGAATTAAACGTAACAACCTCAAATATTAAACCGAATTCCTTCTAACACCACTCGTCTTTGTTGATGTTGTTGTCACTTGCCAGTATGTCTTTTGCACATTTTGTCTGATTTTTTTTTTGTACCTTTTTTTTATATATCGCAATGATTCCATATATAGTTCTGTCTTCCATTTGTGCTTTCTATCGTCATATAAATAAAATAATAAAAAATAATCTCAATGATTCATGTATATATATATAGGTTGACATGTCACTTTTCATTGATCCGGAGGAATCTTGAAGAAGTTTGTCTCCGACGACAATAGATGCCAATTGATGTTTTATATGCTTTGTCCGTTACTAAAATTTTCAAAGGTTAGCGGAAATGTGAATATTTGTCTCGGTATATTACGAACAAATTAATTGAGAGGAAGAATCGTCGTATTACATAGTAGAAATTAAATACAATTTGTCTAGTTTTCATAATTGGTATTTCTAATTGGGTTTGGTTCATCCCAATTGGGCCTCTTATCCTTCTGTTACCAAAATGGACCAAAAACTATGTGGCTCGAGAGATTACGCCCATTTTCCAATGTATGTATATATATATATATATATATAAAGTGCCTATTGCTAAAACGCGTGATAGTAGCGGTAGTAGTAGGGGACAAAGTGTGGGTTTATAGCTCGTATATACAAGTGGGAGTGGTACGTAGTTTTTCAACAGACGGTGTGTGATGATGATATTAGACTCTACCAACGGGTGAGAGTGGCGGATTGAAGAGAGAGCTCCTCTTGTTCTTCTCCTGTTCAGACAACTCCTCATCACACTGCCGCTGCTCTTCTTCTTTCTCGCATGTTATAACCGTCACGCTTATGAAAAACGCTTGTAATGGCGTCAACAACATCCTATCGTACTCCACCCTGTACCTTCCCTCCTCCTCCATCTGCTTCATCGTGAAGCCCGCAAGCTTGTTCTGTCATTTTCATGTACACACACGACCCTACGTTAACATGTGTGTGTGTATATATATATATATATGTAAGGCTTGAAGGTGGTGGGTACCCACCTGATCAAGGAGTTGGAAGCTTTCTCGGAAGAGTCTTCTTTGGCTGGAGAGGAGGAGACGGAGTCCGCATCCGATATCCCACCCTCCACAGTCGCATATCCCGTTACTCCTCCACCTTTCTATCAGCGGTGAAGGCCTTCCTTCGTTCCCTAAACCATGCACCCCCACCGGAATTATGATCCTCGTTTCTGTCCCAATCACATCTTCTGTCATCACCACCGCAGCTACCTCCCTTCTTGATTTCCTTTTCTCTGTCTCTTGGTCTGACTCGAACAGAACCGATTCCCTCACAAGACACAAGTGGTTCCTTGATTTCTGTTCGGTCAGCCGCATTTCTCCAACCATGTTGTAGACAAACCCCCGTTGTTTCTCTCTGTTTCCACGGATTAGCCAGCTCCCTCTCTTTTTCTTTTTCGTTTCGTCGACGGAATAGAACGTGCAGTACCGTACGGAATCATCCTTGCTCCATGAAACCGAGCTGTTCATAATAGCTCCAAGGATACTTCTGCTGTTATCATCAACCACAAATTGAAAGAGAGGGACCCCATTTCTGACTGTAAGCTGAACAAAAGCTCGGGTGGTTCTTGCCGACGTATCCTTCTGCATCTTTTCATCTATAAGTGGCACATTGTTGTCTGTAGACTTTAGAACGGAAGAAGACGATCTTGCTTTTGCGTTTTCAGAGCCTTTGGCCTTCAGTAAGGGGTCAAGCAGCCGTCTCAGAGAGCTAGCTCGAACTCCAGTGTGCATGTTAGTCTTTTCTGGATTCATCGGCATTGGTGGACCATCAAATCTCACGGGATCAGACTCAACGGAATCATCAGAGTTCAAAGGTTGGATAGCTGAATCATCCTTGAAGCTGAAACTCCTGCTGAGACGACTGAAGCTGAAACTAAACCGCTTACCAGGTGAAGGGTGTCTGCTTCTTTTGGGTTCCTCCTCAGGTTCCTCCTGACCAGTTATCTTTGATGCTGTCTTCAAATGCTTTCTGCCAAACAGCTCATTTGTGCATTTATCCGATGAGAGATCAACGCAAAGAGGCGCCATTATGGATTCGGAATCCTTCTCAAAATCAAGGGACAGCGGGAGAGAACAAGGAATTTGACATCTTAGTTCTGTGGAGTATTTACTTCCGTTGACGAAGTAAGAGGAGAATTCATCCAGCTTTGCTTCTTGCCAGTTATCATCCTGTGACATCAGGAACTCCCCTGTAAGAGCACTTCGGGTGTGTGTTCTGGATCCGAGAAGAACATTGCCAAACCGATTCTCCTGTTTTCTGGGAGCAAAACCAGCTTCTGCCTCTTGAGATCCACCAGCGAATTTCCGTGTTCCATCGTTCTTGAATCTCTGTTTGTCCACTGAATCAAGACTAAGCTTGTTGGACCTCACAGGCTGATCAGTAACTGAATCAATTACCTCCCCTCTTTTCAGGCTCACTGACGCGCCAGAGTTTCCCATGTCTAAACACACACTGGAACCGAGATCCTGACTCGATTGTGTTTCACTGCCAGAGGGCTTACGACCGAAGCCTGCTTTTCGCTGCTTATTTAATGAATCCGTTGAAACTGACACAGGTTCCTGAGTGCATCGAATTCTGCGAACAGAACGTTCTAAAACCCGACAAGTGTGATCATTACTGAGATTAGAACAAGTTGCGGACTGTTCACCGACCTTGGCAACCTTTCTAGTTGACACATTTCTGTCAGTTTTCACGGATGTATCCGAACCACTGGAAGATGCATTATTGCATTTCTGGCCATGCTTCCATTTCTCTAAGCTTCCCCAATCCAGAACTCCAATATTCAATGCCTTACCTCTTCTCTCTTCACGTTGGAGATAGTCTGGCAACTTCGACATGTATTTGATCAGCTCATCATCTCGCTTGAAGCTTTCAGTGACGCATTCCTTGCGACTTTGCCCTGAAACATCCGATCCGGCCAACGGTATCTCATTGTCTGTGTCTCTTCTTTTCTCCTCCTCCTTTCCATCCGCTATCTTTGTAGCCCTTTGGCTCTGTTTCAGAACACCTCTGAGCTCGGTTCTTAAAGCCATCAAATCTGCAAGATTTAAGAAACTTTATCCATAGTGAATTGACAATGCATTACCAGTTCACAATGCTAAAACATCGGGGAGTAAAAAATGCAACCTTTCAAATTTCGTTTAGTCCCTCGAAAGAGAGGATTTAGGGTTTATCAAGAGTTCAAAAGGAATTGAACAAAGGGAGTAATTGACTCAGAATTGAATAGAATCAGAACAAGCTGAAATTCGTTGACAAAAACCACAATGTATCATTTCAATTCCGCTCCTTTCAACGAAACGAAGAGATCTATGCAAGAATTGACCCCAAACACAACGCACGGCTCTGTTTGGCAGCTGAGAAAGTCACTGAGAAAACATCGAAAATCTCGAAAAATTCGCTAAAAAGTAACCATTTATAGTACTTTTTTTCCTCGTTTCTAATGATATGTCCATTTCATCAGCCGAACAAACAGAGCAATTAAAGGAACCGTAAAACACACATCTCGTCAAGCAACATTTTCTCTCTCAGATTTTCCAGGAAAAGAAACGGATGAGGAAAAAGACGTACCAGCACGAGCATTTCAACGCTGCACGGATCAAACTCACCGGTGTTGATCTCGGTTACAGAAAAAGCAAAAGCCGAAGGCGGGGAGAAAGGAAACGGCGTGGAGTACAAGCAAACACAGCATATGATTACAGCCACCGCCACAGAAATCAAGAACTCCCGAGAAAATCTTCCGCCGTCGAGAATCGAGAAATACTCCGTAATCACAATCAGAGGAAGACAAAAACAAAGATGAAAAAAAAAGTAACGCATCAAGAGAGGATCTAATAGCAAGCGGGAGACGGAGAGTCAGAGATCGAGACAGCGGGGGCGTTTCATGTGTATATCGGACGGTCAAGAATGATCTCAGATGGGACCCGGAGACGATCGAGGGTTCAGATTTTAAGATGGGGGCCCACTTAGCCGTTTGACGAATCCCAAAGCATGCGGCAATTGGGGCCCACATGGAGCCATATCGGTGCTGACATCATCCGCACCGCACTATAAAAACAATTTACAAATTTAGCTAAAAAAACTTTTATACTTTATGCACAAATTCGTTACGGGATTTATTGATAAATTAAACTTGATGCTCTATGATTATTGAACATGATTTAAAGTTGGGTGCTTATGTGTAAAGCAATTATCCAATTGAGGATCTCCTTTTCGCTTTTTATCTTTTTATTTTTCACTCTTTAAAACTCTCTAAAATACAGAAAGAAACTCCGAAAAATCCGTAAAAAAAAAAGGGGTTGACCAATCAACAATATATGCATGTATGATTACCGAAATAATAATATATCATTCTACTATATTTTTATTTTATAAATCAAGCAGTATCTAAAATATTCCAAACTTGGAGAACGCCTCCACATTTTCCGGACATTTAAACCTTTTTAACCAAAGGCATCGTAGTGTTGTTTGTGACATTTGTTTTTTTTTTTGGGGCTATTAATAGAGTCACCCAATTTTGAATGGTCTAGTAGTGAAAAAATATACAACCTGAGTTCAAAACTAAGCGTGGGAAAGAACATTCATATGGATTTCCCCGGTTCTCTGGAAGATATAGTTGGGCCAAAGACCCGGTGAACTTCCGGATTTTTTTTTTAAAAAAAAACTTGTGAGAGTCCATTAATATGGCAAATAACGTTAAACGTAGCGTATTTTCCATTTTAATTTTGTATTAACTGAATATCGTAAATTTGAATAAATGGTGTTTGGTTATCCAAACGAAAAAATATAAATTAATATAAATCTTTCTAAAAAAAAATTTCAAATAAAAATCAAATCGAATAAAAAAAGAGAGCAAATCAAACAAAATCGAAGGATTCTTAAAAAATAAATATTTATCAATAAAAATTCAATCCAAACTGAATTATAAAAAAGTTCGAAATCAACATAAATTAATATATTAAAAGTTTAAATATACAATTTTTGTAAACCTAAAATCCAAATACGATTTTTTTTTTTTGAGATGCCAATCCTAACTCAACTTTTGTCTAGACTTATCATAACCAGGCCCACCAATAATTAATATACTGATTAGTCCCTAACTCGTCGAATTTCAGATTTTCCAAAAGAATAAGGGGGAAATAAAATCCAACTAAAAAAATAATAAACGATATTATTAATTATTGTGTTTAAATACCATATAGTATATATTCACACTAAAATCAACCCGTAGGGTTTAACGAAAACGGGCCTCCATTTGTCAGCCCAATAAATGCACGTTATGGGCTTTTACGTGCATATCAAAAGGCCCATAGACCATGGCCCATTTCTGCGATCGGTAACCGGCCAATTCGGTGCAGATTTGAGATTACCAAACCTCCTCAATACCGGTCCAATACAGATCCGAGATAATAATTCATGACACGAAATGAAGGACCGTTATATGAAATTTCTCATGCAATATGTCTTTGCTGTACCATTTGGACCGACACACGAAAACTGATTAACTACAAAAAAAAAATATTAAATAAGTGGAACAAAATTCAATAATAAAATTCAAATAAAGAAGCTGGTCGCTCAAGGAAATAGAACTATTGTTAAAATGCATTAATGTTGGCGTAAGACCTAAGACGGAATTCTGGTTGGTTTCATTTCATGATTTGGCCGACAACAAAAGAATTCCACGAAATGATTACGGAATATAATATTTAAAATTATTATGTAAACTTGACGAGTTCCGTTATGAAAGTGCGGTCGAGCATAATATTATTTTATAATAGATAGAAATTGCATCTTAATTTACAAGGGGTTTAAGCTCGGCGTAAAATAAAATTAAACAAAGCAAACACTCTT